CGATAAAGATATTAAACAGAACCAGCCCCAACACCGAGCCCTGGGGAACACCACTTGTGACCCGCCACCAACTGGATTTCACCCCATTCACCACAACCCTCTGGGCTCATCCGTCCAGCCAGTTTTTCACCCAGCGAAGAGCACACTCGTCCAAGCCACGAGACGCCAGCTTCTCAAGGAGTATGCCATGAGAGACAGTGTCAAAGGCCTTGCTGAAGTCCAGGTAGATAACATCCACAGCCTTTCCCTCATCCACTAGGTGGGTCACCTGGTCATAGAAGGAGATCAGGTTGGTCAAGCAGGACCTGCCTTTCGTAAAGCCATGCTGACCAGGCCCGATCCCCTGCTTGTCCTGGACTTGCCATGTGAGTGCTCTCAAGACAAACTGTTCCATAATCTTCCCGGGTACCGAGGTCAGGCTGACAGGCCCGTAGTTCCCCGGATCCTCCCTCCAACCCTTCTTATAAATGGGAGTCACACTGGCAAGCCTCCAAGTCCTCTGGGACCTCCCCTGTTGACCAGGATCACCGACAGACGATGGAGAGTGGCTCGGCAAGGACCTCTGCCAGTTCCCTCAGTGCCCTTGGATGGATCCCATCTGGTCCCATAGACTTGTGAGTGTCCAGGTGGCGTAGTAGGTCACTAACTATTTACTCCTGGATGAAGGGGGGTATGTTCCGCTCTTCATCCTTGCCTTCCAGCTCAGGGGGATGTTCGTCTATATTCATTATACCCGTATTCTCCTGAAGGTCCTGTATGAAACGTAGCCTGGCCGCCTCCGCCTTCACCGGTAGTTGAGCTGTTCCCCATGACAGCAGTTAACAGCGTTTTTACCGAACCCTGGGGCAGGAAAGGTGGGGGTGCGTGGTCTGTCTGTGGGGCGTCCTTAACGCTCCGCTCCAGAACCTCATCTTCCGCTACCTGCAGAACGTGAGTACCGCCGGGCTGCCGCGGCTTCGGCCCCGTGTGAGAGGAACGTCCCGGTGCTTCTTGCGCAGGGCCCTTCGAGCCGTGTGGGGAGCGGGGCGGCACGCCGGACGGGTCTTTCCGAGTTCGGGATGGGGTTTTTGGAGCCGGTCTCGCTTGAACGGAAGAACTTGCTGTCGTTGCGATCCGTGAGAAGAACAGCTAGTTCCGAGTTGGGCGTTTTTCCTTCTCACCTTAAGGAGTTACCTTTGTAAGAGGCGTTTGCTCTTGCAGTCACGTGTGCAGGGATGTTTTCTGTGACAGTCCTAAAGCCTGTGCTGTTGCGTGTTCGCCAGTGAAGGCAGAGAGGATTTCCAGAATAGTCTACCACCTTAAAAATGGCTTAGGACGTTGCTGAAACCACGCGTGAGAGTTACTGCCTCGAGTGTTACAAAGCTGTCGGCAGCAAGGAGTTCTTAATGCACAGGAGAGGACAAAATTGTGTGGAGTGTTTCTGTTCCTGTTGTGCTCTCCCCCTCCATCGTTTTGCAGAGGTCCAGGATCCAGGTGTGGCTTTATGAGCAAGTGAACATGCGGCTAGAAGGCTGCATCATTGTGAGTATCAGGATGTCTTTGGATTGGGTATTTTGTTGGTTGTTCTTCCAATTCATAAAACTGTTTCTTCCTGTCAGGAAAAACTAGCATGGGGGGTGGAAATACCTCGTGCCTCTCCAATTAATAGTCTTAATTGTCCAGCCCACGTCAGCACAGCTCACGATAGCTTGTGGTGTTGTTGCTGAAGTTTAGAGCAGGGCACATAGCTCAGCAGCGGCTTTTGTTGCTGATTTTTAGGGCTTTGATGAATATAGGAACTTGGTGCCAGACGACGCAGAGGAAATTCGCTCCAAACCAAAATCAAGAAAAGAGCTGGGTATGTCAGTATGTCTGTGTAGGCCGAGCGATGCCTGAAACCTGGCTGCGTGAGCCTTCCCCGTAGCAAGGCTTCAAAGCACGAAACCTGTGAAGAGTGTTGAGTTTGGAGTACAGTGAGCGGATACTGGCTAGGTGTCGGTTCCTGCTGTTTCTTGAGCTGGTGGTTTTGTTGAACGTGAAGGAGAAAGAATCTGCCTCTGCCTGCGACGAGTCTTTGTCTTTCAAATGTGTGTAACAACGGATGGACTGCGCTGCACTTTTTCTGCAGCCCGGGTGGCAGGAGGGGTCCAGTCAAATTCCTGCCAGCTACGTCTAACGCAGGTGGCCCTGAACAATTCTGACACTTGCTGTGTCGTCTCTGAATCAAAGCAGGGAACCACCTGAGTGGCGGTATTTAATATTTACTACCTGCTGGCGAGGATAAACAGCAGCCTGTGCTAAGTGACGTGTTTGGGCTCTTGGTGGGGACAGAGTGCTGTTCAAACAGTGAGCGCAGGAGTGGAGATTGTGTCTGATACATTGTAGTGTGAATTTTGAATGTGGGCCCTGCATGACTAATGGATACAGTCCTGCAGCCAGGTGGGAAAGGACTCTGTTTACTAAGAAAAACCTAGTCAGTTGTCTTGTGGACATCTTCTTGCAAGCACCTTTGGCATTGTGAAATGTTTTTTGAAAGTGCAAGGTTATCGTCAGAGTCTAGCATCTCTCTAATGCCCCCTTTCCTTTCTCTGTGTTGCAGGTCGGATCATGTTAAAAGGGGACAATATCACTCTTCTGCAAAGTGTTTCTAACTAGGATTTGTTGTTCTTTGCTTAGAACAATGGCTGCGGTGCTTCGGAGTTAATAAAGTGCTAGTGGGAGCAGGACCAGCTAGTAGACAGGAAGTTATGTGTAACTGGTGTCGCATGCAGAATTGAAAACTGCGCATTCCTTTGTGCAAGTGATTTTTTCTTTTGTAGTTTGAAACGATGCACAGTGTATTTCGCAAATAAACATTTTTCACATTAACTGTAAATGTAAATCTGCTTGCTTTCAGTCTCATGCCCTTCTGTGAGTAGAGAAGGGGGAGAAATGTATTCAAAGTTATTTTCACTGTGGACCTGTGCAGTCTCTGATAAACACCTGTGCGTTCTGGAATGTTACATCTGCATTAGGTGAACAAGGTGGGCTCGTTCAGGATACTGAAGTGACATGCAGTCCTTGAGCTTGCACGTTTCTAGTGAGGGACTTGGGCCTGTGGTATAGTAATCCAGCATTTACAAACTTCACTGGTAGCCGTTCTTGTAAAATATCTTTTATCTTCATGTCAGAGAAGCAGAGAGGGCAGTTGGTTTGGATTAAATCTCTATAATTTCTTGCTTTTTGGGGCAGTTTCTAGATTAAACCGTGGCACTGTTAAATAAGTTGGGATATCAGATGTATCAGTTGGGTTTTTATCATGTTGGTTTATTTTTATTATTGGTTTGAGGATCTGGCTGTTCTATTTAAGTTTCCACAAGAGAGCTGAATTGCTTATCACATCAACAGAAGATAAGTTCCCTAGCTTACTTGGAACTGGCGGTCCCCTCTGCTGCTTTTCTGATGGAAAGAAAGAAAAAAAGGTTTTGGCTGTAATTGTAACTTGGAGACTAAGATTACCTGGAGGGAGAGAAATGAATCCTGATACACAGGTTGCACTAGAAATCATGTAATAAGCTTACACAAATTTAAGTTTCAAAATAGTGAATCATCTTGAGCATTAAAATTAATAAATTCAAGATGGAAGGTTTCTTACCTCAAAGGATAGAAATATATGAGTCTTCTGGCAGACATCATCCAGCATGCTCCTCCCATTCCAAGAAGTCATACGTCAGGAGTATCATAGCAGACGTTCACGGTAAGAAACTTTTGAGAGGCAGCATGACATACTACAGTGGCTAAAACAGCTCCAGCTGTACAGCCTACTAATGGAGTCAGTAGTTTTGTATTTGTGCTCACAAGCTGCAAAGTCCTTTCAACACAGAGTAAACAGAAATAACCTACCAGTGTCATTTAGTAAAAGAAGTCATCACCAGAAGCTAGCACATATGGAATGAAATAATATTTTAAGAGGTCGCTTGCATTTGTTTTCCATTTTATCCTTGGTGTTGCAGTAAGGGGTGTTCATGATGCAGTGCTGTAAAATTTAACCTGCCTGTGTCTCTTCATTGTTACAGACAGATGATGGCCTTGCAACTATAAAAATGCAGACTCTCTTTGAAGTAATTTTGAAGTGACTTTGAAGTAATTGTTTCTCTTTCCAAGTGTGTATAACTTCTTACTAATTGTGTTTAGAAAAAGGTTATTTAATGGGATGTATTGCATCACATTGCTTGGCTCCAGTTTATCCAGGGCCACTGAAACAAAACTGGCTCAGAGCCTACAAGGGTCTGTCCTTCCGCTTTGCACGTGGCTGGCAAGCGGCTGCTTTTTGAGAAGAGTTGGACGTTAGGAGAAATAGCTCGTTCTTATCAGCAGTGCTGCTGCCAACTCCAAATTGTGCACTTCAAGACACCATAATGCCTCCTAAAGCTCCTCTGCTCTTTGATATTATCAGATTAGCACGAATGAACGTCGATATTGGAGTAGGTTGATGATGGGAGGAAGGAAGTCCAGGCTAATCAGCTCTGAAGCATCTCATGATAAGGTACCAAAATAGGCAGTAATTATGTGTGTGGGGGAGTTGCAGAAGAAAAGGAGAAGCTCCCCAGCAGGAAGCCATGAAAACTGCAGAGAGCCTGCAGGAGAGTCCAGGCGTGTGTGGATGTCCAGGAGGAAACACAGCCCCATTGTTTGAGGAGCGCCTGGCAATGGAGTGTTGTGGTCCAAGAACAGAGCTTCTAGGCATTACCAGCACATAGATGGGGCACAAAAAACAATTCTGGCTTTGCTGAACTGGCTTCCCAAGAAGCACTTGTCTGTCCTCATAAAAACCACAGGACTGACTCATCTAAATGCTTGCTGATTTTTTTTAACCCTGAATCCTTCCAGCTTCCTGAGCGTTTCCAAGCTGCAGGCAGCAAGAAGGTAACGTCTCATGAGCCGCTTTAACCGTGCAGTGTCAGAATGAGACTCAAAACTGGCTGCAAAAGAGTGCGGTAGACAGAAGGGGGTGCTGCGGCCTCGGCCAGCTCCCCCTGCCCCTCCAGCAAAGTGTCATAAGCCTCCGCAGGAACATAGAGTTCCCCAGCATTCAGGCAGCTTTATTGGTTCCCAAACAACCTGGAAGAAAGCAAACTGGGCTGTCTGGTGCGGGGCTGCTCTCAAATGGTGTGACCGCCGGACAGGGTGTCTGGATTTCCTGGGCACTGGCACCTTCCCCAGCTCTTCCACACCCTGGGGTGTCCTGCTCCAGAAGGGGATGAGGAATAGAAGGTTCTGGTTTTGGCTGAGCAAGAGGCAGTGAGGAGGAGCAAGGTAGAGTGAATGCTTACAGTTGGGCTCTGTGTTTAGAAAACTCCCATCACTTGGCTTTCTGCTGCCTTGAAGCCTGTTGTGTTTGCTTTTGCAAATCGTACTTTTCCATAACGTGCAAATTCCTTTCCCTCCAGTGCGGGGGTAGGGGGGACCGGGGTGGGTTGGGGGGTGGGGGTGTAAAGGCTCCTTTTGAAGAGGATGCCTTGAGGTGGCATTATTAGGCATAACCCAGTGTGCTGGATATTGCAGTGGGATGTCATGTTGTGGCGCAAATACTATGCTTCAGTGTTCACACATCTCTAGAAAATAAAGTGCTTATGGTGGGTTTGCCAGAGAAAGTTTTGGTACTGCTGCCAGCACTCAGATATCTGTCACAACCAAAAATCGAGCTGATGGTAGTTTTAGATACCATCTCCCCATATCCAAATGTCTGTTTTGTAGAAATAGAGCTTGCTCACTCCTAAAAAGCGAGTGATTGAGACCTGCTTCTGCACTAATGATGGCACAGGTTACATAAGACAGAGCTCTCTACCATGCGGCGTTTCAGTTTGAGACCATTGCGCTGATTGTGGCAGGCAGATGAGAGACCACTCAGATCCAGGTGGGGCTCTGTAGTGTTTGATTTTTCTTCTTTCTTAAAAGTGTTAACACCTTTAACAACACTGGAAGGTGCTTTGAGTAAATATTTGTCCCTTTTCTCTGCCTGTGGCTTTGGGGTTCTGGGAAAACGGCTGCATTTCTTCCCTTTTGCACTTGGGAATTGCTTGCCCTAGCCCAGCCCAGTACTTTTGTGGGATGAGACTCTCCGTGCTTGTGAAAGAATCCCCCGAGGAGGGAGGCAGAGTGGTCTTGCCTTTCCAGAAGGGAACAGTTTTTCCGTGGTTCTTTGGTAGGATGCAATGATTTCTAGGATGATTCTATATATGCTTGAACCTAAACCTCTGAGCCAACCAGCTGCTTGCAGGTGTTTCTTGGTGCGCTTCCTAGCTCTTGAAAGGCATCACTGCAATTTTGCTCAGGCTTCATGGGATGCAGTGGGCTCCATCCTCAGGCAGGACATGGGTCTGTGTTGGCAGGAGCACCGCAAATGGAAATGGACAGCCTGCATAGCCTGTGTCTGCTTGCTGAGCTTGGGCTATCTTCAGCATTTGCCATCTTTTCAGGCCTGTAACCTTCTAAGTGTCTGTAAAATAAGTAGATGGGGAGATGGGATGTGTAGATGCATGGGCTGTACAAGGGGAAAATCACTTTCCCTCTCTCATGCTCCGCCACCACCCTTGATCCCACAGAGCCCTCTTCTAAAGCCTTGCCACTTCGTGCTTTAGTGCACATTATCTGGGAACTTATTTCAAGTGCTGGTATGTTTTAAGGATTGTGTGCCTAAAAATAATGGTATCAAACAGACAACAGTGGAAGGTCAAGGACTCAAACGGCTTAGAAGCTGTCCCCTTAGGGCAGCATCTGAATATGGAAATCTTGTGTGGAGGGTAGAGGCAGGAGCTGGGGGAGAGCAGCCTTAAAGTATTGTAATGCTTTCCTAAATTTCCTGCCTGTTCTTGTTCCAGTCTTGCATGGGGATGGAACTGTTTGGGATTGTTTTTGCAATTTTTCTCTGTGGGCAATAAAACCGATGCCCTCTTTGGCTGAAGATGGGGTTGGTACCCGTCACAAGCAGATAGGATGCCACGGGGAGAGGAGTTTGCTGGGCAGCCATTTTGCCCTTCTTCCCCAAAGTCCTTGCAAAAGGGCTCTGGTCGCACACAATGCCAAAAACTGGCTCCAGCAGGTTTTGTTCGTGGCAGTACCCTCCGTTGGCAGCCCACACACAAGGTGCCCAGCATGGCTGCCCCCCCGTCGTGTCTTTTCACATTCATACCCACCAGGGGCATCGTTACTATTGTTTGTAACATCTCTTGGAAAAATGAGTCATGGGCGTTTTGCCTGCCCTCAGCAGGGAAACTCTGCCACATTAGCAGCAGCAACGCCCGCCCCCCCGCGCCGCTGCCTCGCATACCAGCAGGCCCCTTCGTGCAAGGAGCTGGACTTGCTTCGCTGAAGTTGGTCAATGTTGCTGCTTTTCTTGCCAGCAGTAACCTGGGCTGCAGGGAGGGTGTTGTTCCCCATGTACAAAAGCCTGGATGGATTTCAGACCAAGGTGTAGTTAGCAAACTCCGTCACCCAAAAGACAACCCTGTTCCCATAGGTCTTCTTCCCTCCTGTGCCTTGAGCTGCGATATTTAAGCCCAATTTTCCTGCACTTGTCTTTGGGCCGTGTTCTCACCCAGCACAGCGATCACGGTGGGTAATGTTTTCTGGGCTTCTCCTGCAACGATACTGGTTCGTCTGTGGCAGAGATAGAGATCATTTTTTACAGCTCTGCTCTGTGGGGCAGGCTGTCATCTAACTGCAGGATTTGGGGTATAGACGTGGTAAAACAAAGCCATGACATAGCTTCAGG